TCCCCTGCCTTTCCCCCCTACGTGAGAGCGCACATAGTTGTGCATTGGTCTCGGTATCTTTTGATTTTTGCTATCCGTTTTTTTCGCTCTCTCTCTCTTTCCTTAAATGAACATTAAAAATGTCAACTGTAAAAAAAAATAACTCAAATTTTATCCTTTTTGCGTATACATCGGTGTACATATATAAAAATATTAGTATGTGGAGGGAGATGAATGAATGACTTGTAAATTAGACGAATGATTTTATTGTCCTTCCTATAAGTAAAAATTAAATTTACTTTCGTTCAGCGGTAGGTAAATATTTCAGAGAAATTTGTGTTATTCTAAATGAATAGAATGGTGGGAAAGACGATTGAATATATAGACATTTATGTATATATATATATATATATATATATATATATATATAGAATATTTTTCTTTGCAAACTTTCACAGATATTCAACTGTTCCAAATAATAATAATAATAATAATAATAATAATAATAATAATTTGAAATCATCAGTCAATCATTGTTAGATCACTATTAGAAACCTAGAAGCACTGGACGGCCGTTTCGTCCTGGTATGGGACTCATCATTGGCAGTGCACATCCACGACTCCTGCTCCTCGCAGGATTCGAACCCGGGACCTTCAGCATTGTGCGCGAACGCCTAGACCAGTCAGAGTTAGATATTAATACCGCTGGATACCGGCCCAGTGGTCCGGTGGTTAGGCGTTCGCGCACAATACCGAAGGCCCCGGATTCGAATCCTGTACGAGGAGCAGGAGTCGTGGATGCGCACTGCCAGCGATGAGTCCCATACCAGGACGAAACTGCAGTCCAGTACTTCCAGGTCTCCTCTAATGGTGGCCTAACATTGATCGATTCATGATTTCAAATGTGTAAAAACATAAACCTCCAAAACTCTGCCCCAAAATAATAATAATAATAATAATATTTTTTATCAAAGTTTCCATGCCTTAATTTAGTTGTTTGGTTGTTTGTTTTTCTAAAGCAAACAAAAAAAATTTGCATAGATTTATAGTTTCCAATTGGCATGTACAATTTAGACACAAAAAAGAAACATGCATTTATTCTTATGACAATTATTAATATTCATAGTAATATCCGATTAAAATGAGACTATTATTTGTTGCTTTTCAAAATCTCCGCTGTCAAAAAAGTTTTGAATTATCAAAGAAAATCATGTAGTTATTAGTGTGTTTCTTCATGTTTTAAACAAACATGTGTTATTTTAAGCGAACATGTTTAAATTGACAATGTACAACAGACGTCGAATTCACTTGTGAATATCGATCTGCGTGTGTGTGTTTGTGTGTGGGTGTGTTGGTGGTTGTGTAATTTTGGCAGATGAGTGGATGAGGTAGCTGACTGACAGTCGACTGATACCTGAATATTTCTACATGATCAATTTAGCCCTTTCGTTTACCTCTCAAATATTTATTTATTCATTTGATAAATTTCAATCTTGTTTTAATCTTTTAAAAAATAGTTTTACAGTTAGTTAACAAATACGGGAGAGTATAAAATTTATTGAATACGATTTAATCAGGTGACTACTGCTCGTTGTCGTCAATCACAATAATTAAATTGTGACGATATTCTGTATACATACAGAGTCAGTTTACTTGCAATGGTCTTGATTTGCCTGTTGTCAATATTCAGGACTATAATTGATTGTTATCTGGTGACAGATGTATATTTTGATCGAAATGGTTCGCTATAGGCATTCGGTCACAAGTTTTCATCAATATTAGTTATTAGGTAACAATGAGACTAGACTGCTCACTTCTCTCCATTTGGGACTCATCAGTTGGGTGTACATTCATCTCTAGGTTGAAGTTCGCAGATGCGGTACCTTCCACCTTGAATTGTGATGCGTTGTATGAATTTAGTAGCACAGTGGATAACAGGTTGTTATTTGAATCCAGGTACTTCAACTGACAAGTCCTAAACAAGACGAAACATGTATCTTTGAGTAGTCCCCTGATAGGTATTATTCAACATTACTAAATAGGGACAATTCTTTAAAAATTTTATAGTACGTAATGAGATGAGCAGTCAGCTAATGGAAAATCTTCACACACACACACACCACTTTTATTTGTTATTAATTAATCAATAAAAAGATGTCAAGTTTTCTACTATTCGTCAAAATCGAATGTAATCATTGCGAGGTTGTTGTGAAGATTGTTAAGTTTTATCTGTAATCATGAATCGATCAATGTTAGACCACCATTAGAAACCTGGAAGCACTCGATGGCCATTTTGTCCTGGTATGGGACTCATCATCAGTAATCAGTTGGAACAGAGGTTAAAATGAAATTGTTTTACTGAGAATATCATCAACATTTTGGATGTTTTTCAAAAAAAAAATCTAAACACTTCATTTTTAATTTATTTGACTCGTTCATCTTTTATTTTTTTTAAAGATTAACGTTCATTATTCTAGAAAATTCTGTCTAAACATAGAAATATTTATTTACAGAATGGTATGTATCCATTTGAATTTATATGAACATAAGGAAAGCATTGTGAAATGGTAACGATTGAGCGTTATGAATTCGGTCAATAGTGAAGAGACTTTTTACTAAATAAAACAGAGTTTTTATTCTTAAAATAGCCAAATTACTTTCAAGGACTAAAATATATATTAAACGCCTATTGACAATTTTTAAACAGAATTCAAATGTCAATGTCGAATCAAAATTATGATTTCAGTGGTCGGTAAACAAATAAAAATACATATTGTAGATTGTTCGGATCACAAAATAACATTAGATAGGCTATCAGTAAAAACCAGAAAACACTGAATATCTATTTCGTCGTTAAAATGGGACTTCTAAGCTATGTATACCTACAACCCGAGCATGAATTGACCTCATGGTGAACGCTTAAGTTTACAACAGTTGAGTACTTATCCAACTCTTCAATTAATTCATGGTATTTTGTGACTATCATTCTATTGTCAAAGATCCCTAATATTTTAAATCTGGAAAAGCTACTTAAATTCATTGTGAGTAGTAAACATAATTCTTTGTTCATTTCATCACATTATGTATATTGATGTCAATGTCAATTAGATGGCATTATCATTCAAATAATACACAGTTAGTGATGATGTAGATAATAGAGTCGTAAAGCAATTTTTTTAAATATGGATTTTTCTTTATTTTATAATGTCTTATATAACAGATTTTGTTATGCTCGTCACTTAATATGCTTGAAACTATTACGAGTTCGATAAACGAAAACAAGACAATGAACCAGTGACACAGTAGGTTATTGTAATCCGTTGTCCCCAGCCCGGCTAACTTTATCAAGAAAACTTGATATGGCGTAGAAAGTGTATTCTGCAAGCACCCAGCAAATACAATGATCTCAAGAACACAATAGCGTTTATTTAGACATTGTAGAAACGTCTTTGGGAGAGTCACAAAAATAGAACACTAAAAGACTATATCAACCAAGCACAGCCAAGGATATTCCTGGTGGAAAATGTGAACTCAGGGTCAACTGATCAGCCCATGCTTGAGAGCATAAAATCCAAAATTAGGACCTTTATATTGTATATATATATATATATGAGAAAATGTAAAACGTAACAAAACATTGGGACTAACTATGAGTCGCTTAAAGTAGCTAAATGCCTAGTCATCTAATTACACGTGGCCTGCTCATGCAGTGCATACCGATTGACGCGATCGGTGATCAGAAACGATCGATATATATGTACTTTTGTGCGGGAATATATGGTGACATGCATAAATGGAGCCTTTTGTGCGTCGTGGTAGTGACTACCTCTTCGTGGTCCCGCTAGAAACGTGACTGTGGTAACATCGCTGCGGCTAAATTCGCTCCGAACGCTTAGGATACCTTGTCAGGCATGATCCAGAACAATGGTACATGTTCATGGTCGCGAGGCCGTGGATACGAGTTAGCCACTCTGAGGTATTAGGACTGAACGCTGTTAAGTCTGAATACCATCCATTTAGCGTAGGTAAACTGAATTAACGGTTTGAGTACTAGTCTTCTATCATTCTGGCGGCAGCATATACCTTGAAAGGGATATAGCTTTCCAGCTTTCTTGAAGGCGGCCCTAGACGATTTATTTGGGGAAGCAGCCGTAGAGATCCTGGACTATGCGGTTGTCCCGAACACTCTGCATCTCGGTGTAGTGTATAAACTGGCGTCGAGGCTCCTTAAACAAGGATCTTCAGTTGGGTTATGGG